CTGGCATGCTCTGGTCCATGGGGTCACAAAGAGTCGGACACAACTTAACGACTAAACAACAACAACAAAATACTGAAGTATATACTTGTAAGGATAAAGAAACACTTTTATAAATTAGTTTGGAGATGTGTTTAACTCAGTGAAATTAAATCAAATGGACACTAATTATTCTTAAATTATGTTGGAGAAGATGGCAGAAAATAGGAACTTATTTTCATATGTGGTTGGAATGTGAGAATATATTGAAATTTTGGCAATTGGTTTTCAAGGAAATAAATGAAATAATTAAGCCAAATAAGGACATATGTCCTAAAATAGTGGTTTTCTCAATATCTGATAAGGAACAATGCAACTGGACAATGAAACAATTAATTTCAAATTAATTAACGGTAGCAAGATTAATGGTTGCAAAGAATTGGAAAGTGAAGCAAATTAACATGCAATTTTAAAGTAAAGAAGGGTTTGATAAATAAGAATATTTTAATTGATATCTGGGGAGAATTTATCAATTTTATATTAATAAAGGGAAAGTGTTGTGTACCTTCACAAGAGTCAATGCAGTTTTGGAAGGGGATTGGGGCTCTGTAAATAGAGAAAAAAATTGTTATATCTCCACATGGTCATGGGGAGGGAGCACAATATGTGTGTAATTGTATTATTTATGCTGTTTTCTGTTATTAAGGTTTTTAGGTGTGTGTTTTTTGTTTTCATTTTAGTTTCTTGCATGAATAACTTTCTTTTTAAAAAAAAAATCCACTGTGGATGGTAATTTGACGATTTCCTAACATGGGTCCCATACAAGTTCCTAAGTATTGTTACTTTAGAAAAGAACCATATAAATTCTTCATGAAGTCAGGCACTACAGTAGTATGAAGAAAATTATTCCAAATTAGTAAATAATAGGTACTGCATTTTGATCAAGGTAAGGCAAAAGAACAAGTAAATGCACAATTTTAAAGTATGGCTGTTGGCTATTACTACACCAGCATAATTATACAGTAAGTGTTTAAACAGCAGCAGTGAATTTCCTCCCGTTAACAAGCTGCAGCTTGTATTCCTTGTTGCACACCAAGTTGCACAAGTAGCACAAAACTAGGAATGTGAAAGGCAAGTTGTTAATTAACATCAAGTTGCCATTGCAATTTACACAGCTACACTTTTGCCAGCATAAATGCCCAGAGGATTCTGACTTATATATAACCAAATATTAGTACTTAGAGGAGATTTGCAGAATGCTTTGGAAACAAACAGGCAACTCTTTCATACTTCTCATTCATACTTCTCAAGTGGAAATATATTTACTATTGCCTTTATAAACAGAGCTACTTACCTTATTGGTGTCCAAATCAACTAGCCATACATCATCTGGCATTTTAAAGTCTAGTTTATAAAGAAAAAAACTAGCTGGAACTCCAATGATATAGGGTGTTGGGGCCAGAAGTAGCTGTATAGAAAATATTAATAAGGAGAAATTTAAATCTTTTCAGACTTTCTGCTGAAGAAATAATCACTAAAAGAAAACTATTAGGGGGAGTGTGACAAAGCATACGCAAGCTTGGTCTACATTAATCCCAATGATTGTCTGAAAATAACACAGTGTTGCAACAGTATTGAAACAAAACAGGTGCACATCTTACCAGTACTTTGGATGGGAGACCCTTACTCATGTAATGTAACTGCAAAGTATCTGTATGAATGAATATATCCAAAAAAGCATTCATCTCATACTGAGATTTCCAGAGAGCAAGAAAACTCCTGTGTACAAAGGATCTATAGAAAAGAGTGCTCACTGAGAAAGTCATGCTTGAAAAATGGTGATCAAATTCATGCTGTGTTTATACACATGCATGCATAGACACACTGAGAAGAAAATTTTCATAGGTTTTAAAACTATATTTAAAAATCTTGATGTGGAGAACTAGAGAGAAAAAATCATAAAATAGACCTTCCTGGAATTTTCAAAACCCTTTATTTGTAGAAGTTGTCTGTTCTCATGCAAAAGAATGAGTCTCAGGCTTCAGCATCAAGTCAGAACATGTACAAAGTGCAAACTAATTTTTTCAGTGTCTTCCTGGAGCCCAGGTTTTCTATGTAAGAAATATCAGCTCTTCGCTATTTCAAAAGAACTGCAGCCCATGCTACTCACATGTCATTGTCAGAATCATACCATGTGATATATGGGGATAAGGGGAGACATTTTAAAGTTAAGTGGACTCCTTTGCACACTGTTTGCCATTTTTATTCCTTTCATAAAATGTGGCTGTTTATACAAATGGTACAAATGCTACAGAGATTGTTAGGCATATGGAAAAATATATGTTTTAATATCAGCAGTTGGATAGAGGATAATCCAAATGTTTCTATCAAGAAAAAAGTGTTGGCAGAGTGCTCCCTTCACTGAAGAGCTTGCATACCTGTTCTGCAGAAGCCATGCAGGTAGGAAGGAGAGGAATCACTGGGAACATGTACTCCAGTGGATAGATCATGGCCACAAATGCCATCACAGACATGGAGAGAGCATTATAGTCCCGGGACTGCAACACCACCTGCAATAAGTGAAACTTCTATCACACTTATTTTCTCAAGATAACATTTTGGATTTCTTGTATGCCACAATGTTCTATTTTCGGATGAATTGCACTCCAATCCTATTAAAAATTCTCCACAATCATATGCTATTTGATATAGAAATAAAATGTTGTGAAGAATCCTCGGTGCTTACTTCTTTACAAAGCGTTCAGCAAGAAATTCTTCATTCTGACAAAATGCATTAATTCTTTATCATGATCTTCTTTGTTAATATATGGTTGAAATGGTGTGGAATGAACAATGCAGAGCCATCTGCTGAATTGCTTACATTCACCCTGATTCATTTCCCTCTCACCTTGTGTTCCAGGAGAATACAGGACAGCACCTGCAAACATGCATCCACACCCAACAGCTCCAAGGGCAGATGCAAAGGGAAATCCACCAGAGAGAAGCGGGATGGGTCAGGAAGGGCAAATGTCAAGGCTGGTTGCAATTCATGTGGTAAAACCTCCACATCCACACGCTTCTGGCCAGCAACAGGCACAGGGGAGCGAAGTAATCGGTAAATCCAGGCCTCAATTTCACGTAAATCATGTAGCAATGCACTGGATTTCTCTTCCACCAGAAGGGAGCCTGTGAAAATCCGCCACATTGTGTCCCTGCGTAAAAGCAAAACAGATACACTCTGTAGTTCTACTGACAATTCTGTCCCAGGGATCTGGCCCACACAGTTCAAACGCACAGTTAGAAGTCTTGGGACTCCTTAAAGAAACACACACCTAACATGGTATAATTTTTTTATGGACTACAATACAGCATTATCCAATTGGTGAAGTATTCTGCTGAGGGGTGAAGTATACACAGGAGTGGAGACAAAGAAAAAGGTAACATTAGCAAGCGTGATCAATTGACCAGGATATTGTTACCACCTCTGCTTTCAAATCTAACCTTGAGGAAGAAGGCACTTTGAAGAATGTTTGCTCTTTGTCCCACTGGTAGAATCAGGACAATGAGACGTCTAGCAGCCATCTAGTACAGGGGAAGAGGGTCAGGTTCTGGCAAAGCTGAGGAAGGAAAGTGTCTCCAAAATGGTTTGTCGGTCTACAGTTCCTATCATTCATGTCATTTGGCTACTCTGATCCCCACTGATGGGAGGTGTAGTTCAGCATCATTTGGAGGATTATACATTTCCCAGCATTACTCTTTTTCTAGAAGATAGCTCCTGATAAGAACAACTTAATTTAAAGGTATTTGAATGCCTTGATGTACTGTGAAAATTGCATCGAGGAGTTTTTTCTCAAAACAAATAATTCATTGTCCAAAGTGTTACAGGGGAATGAAAAGTTTCCTATTCCCATTCCTAATTTCCAGGGATTCCTAAGAATCTCTTCTGTTCTGGGAAGTCATTGAGAGCCGTGGCACCAGGGAGGGACCCCTTTAAAGCCTGAGGATCACTGCTGCCCCTCTAATTCCCAACAGCAGGGACAGCAATTTGAGGGCATTAAAGAGTTCCCTTCCTTCTTCTGCAGCTCCTATAAGCCCCCTCAGGACAAAAGGAATCCTTAGGGTTCCTGAGAATCTGACGGGGCAGGGAAAGCTTTTATGGACTAGGAAGCTTTTAATGCCTTCCCACCAACTCCCTTGACATTATTGCTGTCACATAGCACAACACTGCACAGCAGGATTTTGGCCATTTTTATTTATATACTTTAAAATGTTTCCGTTATATGTTGTTTTGCCCAATAACATCTTTGCATATAATGCTCACAACATTACTAATCTCTGGAAAGAACCAAATACAGTAAAATTACTGAAAACACAAAGGATTTTCTAAAAAGCATCCTAGATATTCTCTCCCGTGCATTCATTCTCCATAGAACCTTATCTTTCAATACGAACTGTGTAGAACCCAGCTACTTGGGGTTACATGGTTGATTTACAAAGGGACTAATTCTGTCAGTTGTACTGGCTGTCAGTGCATTCTTGCATTTATTCAAAATGCTGATATTGTTCCTCAGTGCATTAAATGTTTTGGGCCCAGGTTATGTGAAAGATCCACCTGTACCTTATGAAACTGTCTGTGGCAGAGACACTATTTGCTGGCCTACCTTTCAAATCCACAGGACCGCAAGAACCACAGATTGGGCTTCTTGGTAGTGACCTGTAATTTATGGAATCCCATTCCAGAGCACTTGTCAAGGCTCATCAGTTGCTTTTAAGAATTTTTTTTGTTTGTTTTCAATAATGAGGTTTTTAACTACATATTCTGCTTTTGTATGTCAGTTAAGTTTTGGGTCTGGCTTAAGTTCTTTTTTACTTTAATTGGTTCATTCTAAAATTTGCTTTAAGCTGATTTATGAGTTTGTAAATTTTTAATACTGACACTGAGTTCTCAGTTTCATATTATTAGAAGTCTTAGGAAGGCTGCAGCCCTGGAATCTGGAATAAAAAAGCAAATGAAACAGACAATTCTTCTTCAAGGATGTATTTGTGCTTGACACATGAGACAAAGTAATAAGAAAAACCAGCAAAGTCTGATTAAGCTGATCCTATGAGCAGCACACTTAAGGCAGGACCACAAGGCAAGGACCTAAAGGTATAGGGAAGTCCACAAACAATCTCTTAAAGAGATTATCATTTCTTTATGTGAAAGGAAGGAAGGAATTTCTGATGCACGTTGCATAAGCTTCAGTACCATACAGTCCAGTATAAGGTTTGCACTAAAACTAATAGCCATTCTGTTATACAGGCTAAAAGTCCAATCTCATGCTTTATGAAAAAACATGGAAAGGAGAGTGATTGCATGTCTTCTCCCTGTATCCTAGGAAAATACACTCATGTAATAAGCACCAGACATGCCTAAAAGAAAGTGAAATAAGCATTATGTCATCTAAATATGTAATTAAACGAAAGCATTTCATCTCATCATCTACCTCTGTACACCTCGAGGGATCGCCAGTTTCTTCCCCAAGAGTCTCTCACTGCAGCAATCCACCAGCCTCTTCAGGGTATACAAACATTCACGGAAGGTAGAGAAAAAAGGATAGTGGCTAATGATGCACAGTGAGGTCAGGGTGCTGTTACGAGAGCGGTGGGTGCATTTTGCTGAATGTTTACTCCGTGGTGATCGATTTACATCTTGGGCAGACTCTGTGTTTGGTGGCTGCAGGGAACTGCCACTCTCTGAACTCTCATTACCCTTCTCTTCTTGGGTAAAAGACATATCTCCAGATTTAGGTGCTTTCTGCCCATCTCGGACACGGTGTCCACCACTGCCTTCTCCCTTTTCCTTGGACACACGCTTCTGGAAGGAGCGGTAGAAATTGACACATATGCCATAGCGGGTGATTCCTGTATCTTTATCTGTCAGAGCGAAGACAAAGGAAGTATCATCTCGCAAGCTCATGCGTTTCTGTCGGACACTTAAACATCCCTCTGGCTGACAGAAGAACACTACATCAGGAGGAAGTGGGAAATCAGTATGGTCTTCAAGAGGGTACCGGCGCAGTAATTCAGGCGTTTGTGCCACACTATCACTGCTTGGTTGCCTATGAGAAATGCAAAAGCAAATGTACTTTCATGCAGAAACACCACAAGGATTACATATGCATATAATACAAATATTAAACAACCCTTTTGTTGCTATTGGGGATAGTAGGCTTTAAAATATGACCAGTGAAATCCCTATCAAGATAAGTAAAAGCAATTTTGTAGACCAGATGAAGCTCAGGCAGAGCAGCCAAGGTACCCTCACCTTGAGGGTGCCCAAACATTGCCCAAACAAAAAGGAAATTGGGAGTAAGTGGGACAGGGAAAAAGTGTAAAAGCTTTCTAAGCCTGCTGTATGGGAAGGCTAGCACCAGGAAGAAACACACACATATACATTATACCTTTATTGTTTCTGGCCATAGGCCTTTACAAAGGCAAACTTACATAAAAACAGTTAAAACAAAAGGATGCCCCAGGGGTCAATAAACACGTTCTGGGAATGGTGGCATAGTGTATAATATCAAAGTCACTATATTCAACATTTATGTAATATTATGAACCTTAACAAATCGAAGCCTCGACTTTTTAGTTGCCAGAGCAAATTGTGCAACATAGTATGTAATAAACAGCTGTGTATCAGTGAGTAGTCTTACTGTTACTTCCATTGAAATATAGTTGGGATACAGCTGAATAATAGGAGACAAAAATCTATCTCTGGGAAACAGACAGAAAGAGGCTTCTCACACAAACCCTTTGAGACTGCCAACTCCATTAGATCAGAAGTATGGGTCTTCCACTTTAATCATATCTTTTGGGGGGGGTAGTATCTGTACTAACTCCATACATGTGATTCCCTCTAGTCTCCCTGAATGGTCACCTGTTTCCCCTGTAGAAACTGGGAACTTGATCCTAACTTTTCAGAAAGGCAAGGCTCCCAGCGAAGACATGATCCCTGCTGAGGTCTTTGCTAGTGACATTGAGTGGTGGTCCCTTATTTTAGCTAGTCTATTCACCTACATTAACAACACAGGAAACCTACTTATAGGCTGGCAAAACAGTATAGTGGTACCAGGAAGAAATAACTTTGATAGCAATGGCAGTGAGAGAAGTGGCAGTTGTGCAAGAGTACGATAATCTGGTTTAGTATTGCTAATTTGATGTGGAAGTCACTCAGAATAAAATAGTATGTAACAAAACTTTAAAAAAAACAAACCATAATAAAACAATAATCCAAACAGACTAATCATCATCATCATCATCACCTTGGAACTGCAGAGCTGGAAGGGATCTCATGCATCACTAAGTTCACCCCTTCTCAAGGAGGCAGAGCGGAGAATCCAACTCCCAACCTCTGGCTCTTCAGCCAGAGACCTAAGCCACTGAGCTTAGGCAACAATCCAAATAGAGTTTTGACTCGATTATTACCCACAGAACACATTTTTAGCCCATTGTAAAGTCTATAAGGATGGGACCTAATGGAATTACGAAGAAGAATATTATTGCTGTTATTTTTAATAGCAGCTGCTGCTGCAATCAGGAAGATGAGAAGTATAGGTCCCAAATCACCCTACAGTTGCTTTCCACTTCATACATCCACAAGACTATACAGGAAGTAGCTGTACTGAGGTTTATAGTATAGCACCATTTAGACTATATGATACCATACACTAGAATGTGGCTTTAATGTAGAAAGAAAAGCATCTGGGCATGTGAAAGGAACTGTATTTGGCAATTTGGGCACTTTCTTCCCATCCACCCATTTTCTACTGCCAACTACAATCTATAGTGCTTAGTTTTTATGCCTTTAATTTAATTCTATTTAATTATGCCTTTAATTTAATTCCACTTAATCTTTGACTTTGTTTTTGTATTTTAATTGTATTTTTATTTCAAATTATTGCAGTCTGCTTTGAATAGACATTTTCCCCAGATATTCTTGGACTACCACAGCTGTGATACAAGGATATCTGCAAGTGGGATCTGACGGCCTGAGGAATGGACCTCAACAGATGGGAAACTTTGACATCTGAACGTTCATCCTGGAGGCAGGTGGTGCATCACGGCCTCTCCCAGTTTGAAGAGACCCTTGTCCACCAGGCCGAGGCAAAGAGGCAGTCCCAGAAGCAGCAAAATCAGGGAGCTGGACAGGGTACAGATTGTATTTGTCTTCAGTGTGGAAGGGACTGTCACTCTCGAATTGGCCTTTTCAGCCACACTAGACATTGTTCCAAGTCCTCGATACAGAGAATGTTACCATAGTCTCTCAAGACTGAAGGGTGCCTAAGAAAAACTCCCAAGTGTATACTGACAAGTGTATACTGATTCCCTGGAGATACATGACAAAATGTCTCTTTCTGGAGCACTGTCACTCCACTACTTTATTTAAAGCAAGCCTTTTAAAAAACTCTTCAAAGAAAAACTGTATTTTAACTTTTTCTGTGAACTTTCATAGCCCTCCAAACATCTCCCTTCCCTGAGCCACAAAGCTGCAACTATGCGTCTACTTTGGAACAGACTTAGGGTAAGCCTGTTCTACACAGGCTCAGTTTAAAAGAAAGTCACTCTTTTGAATGGCCTTTTTTGAGGATCAATATTTCACCCTCTGCAACCTGGATCCTTTCCAAATAAAATAAAAAAGCAAGCGGGTACAATAACTCTCTTCCAAGACAATCAATATTTGTCTTTTCAGTTTATTTGTTCTGTTTTACAACTGGGCTGCTTGTTTTAAAAATTCATAACTTGAAAACCCTTTTCTCAAATTTCCCCAAATTTGGCACAGAAAAGAGCAGATAGTCTGCTACATCTGTGCCAAATTTGGTGCTCACATGAGGCTCAGTTTCAAAGTTATAATTTTTTGTTTGAGTTGTCCCCATTTTTAGAATTGCCTTGTAGAATGCTGATTTACTCTGCCAGCACAATAACATCACTACACTCTTGTACAGTGATGATAATAATAATAATGTTTAAAATGTATCTATTTCTTGTTTAAATATAAGACACATCTACCCTGAAATTTGCTTTGTTTGAATTTTTGCTCTGAGGCCAAATTCAGCAGACATTAAATTAGGTCTTAGTCTGCAGATTATCTTGACTGGCGAATTCTGCACAATATTTTCAATTGCTATGCCAGGCAAAATAGAAACATTTAATACATATTAACTGTATGCTCATGGTTGCCTTTAATTGTTTGATTTCAAGTTACATCTGGAGTTAGCAACAGCCCATGGGGCTGGACAAAAAGCATGAAATATCTACTCGTACAGTGTAATGACAAAAGGGAAGGCACTGCTATACTCTCACCAGCACGCATCTATTGGAGGCAGCTGTGGCAACGGCTATCTTCAACAGGTTCTTTGAAACTTTACCAGTAGTGTGCCTACATGGTGCTGCATGACTTGCCACTAAACTGTCTCCAAAGGATGGGCTAAATATGCAGGTCCCCTTCACTCCTGCTGCTGACCAGCAGTAGGCATTTACTAACTTTCATTCTTATCAGCCCACTGGCCATAGGTACATGCATATTCATATTATGCTAATCACATCCAGACTAGTGCCTACTGTACCTGGCTCCAATAATTACAAGGTAATCAAGTAAACGCGAACAGCTTCTCTTCTTCTGCACCATGGTCTCGCTTCCTTCACTATGTCATCTCAGTGCATTTCTCATTCATTGGTCCAACCGGCTTCTGATTACTGTCCTAAAGAAGAAAATGTGTCACCAATCTACAAATAAGAAATATTTCATTCAAGGTTAAATTCACATTCATAGCAATAGCAATATTTTGATCACAAGCAACACTGTGAATATAAGATGCAGATTTTTTACAAAATAGTCTAATTCAAATTAAGTATTCACATGTTTTCTCACCTGTCCTTAATGGGTAAACATGACAGTGTAGCCTCAATATGAAAGTGGTAGCACATTCACATAAGGCAACTCCCATGAAATCATTTCAAAATCTTGTAGGGCCATTCCCATACTCACAACTGATTCAGACTTACATGACTGGCATGCATTGGCGCCAGTATTGAGAGTGGTATAGATACTCCATTAGCACTAGGCTGTGAATGGCAAAGTAATCAGGTCAGCTGTATGTATACAATACATACAAGATCACACAAACCGTACATTGAGGCAACGTTGGTCCAAATACAGGCCTTCTCACAACACAGAATTAACTTATCATCACCATGTGCGATCAAGTCAATTCTGATTTATGGCTATCCTTTTCTGGGTTTTCCAGGTAAAAAATACTAAGAAGTGGTTTACTAATCCCCTCTTCTGGGGGAGGGGGGGTACTCTGGGACTCTGCAGCTTGCCCAAGGCCACACAGGCTAGTTCTATTCACAGGAGGAACCATGGGGAATAGAACCCCCAACCTCTGGCTTTGCAGCCAGATACATAAACCACTGAGCTGTCCTCCCAGCTTTAATTAACCTCTAGGACTTGCAAATTCAAAATGGCATCATGCTTATTACTTCCAGAAAATGTTGATTAGATGTAGGTATATTAATTTAATTTATTAGCCATAATAGCTAGATGAGAAGAAACAGTATATCTGTCAGTACAGTAGTAGATACTTGGGACAAACAATGCTATTATTACTTCAGTGGTACCTCGGTTTACAAACGTCTCAGTTAATGTAATTTTTGGTTTATGAAAATAGGTAAATATATTGAAAATAATGCCTCAGTTTACGTGTGGGGTTTTTTTTCGCTGTACAAAGTAAGTTTCCCCAGGATGCATTGTCCCTGGAGGTTTATAGCGCCACCCCCATTCCTATGGCAATCCGCATTTCTGTTTACGAATTTTCCACATTATATAACGTCCCAGATAATGCATTAAATTCATAAACTGAAGTACGCGTGAATCTTGCTTTGAATGCAAGCATTTGGAAGTATCTTTTAAATCACTGGAATAGAATACTGGATTTAATAGAATTTTGTCAGATACAGCAAGATTTGGCAATTCAGACTAGCATTTCATTTGATTCCTGTCAAATTAACTTTTTATACTTTTTGGAAAGAAGATACTCAGCATGTAAGATGTGGTGCTTATTCTTAATCTCTGCTTCAGAAGATTTGCTTCTACACAAATAGAATCAAAATCTTTCCTCTCTTCAAACTAAAAATTTAAAAACTAGAAATCATTCTAACTTTTAAGAAGATGCCACATCACCAGCTTTGCAACAGTAGCTTTGCTACCAATCTTCCTTGGTAGCAAAAAAGGCAACCAAGATGCCAGGGACTAGAAAAGGGATAAAAAGTTTCAGATGTACCCTTTTTCTTTTATCTCTTTCTGTTAAATTTTCACATATCTTTGACTATTTGCAGTTTGATTGACTTCCCAGTGGATTTTTTGTTTGCTTTTTGTTCGTTATTTTGTTGCAATTTTATTACCATATTTTGAAAATGGAAGCATATATAACATAAAGCTAAACACATATATACACTTTATATTATGTAAGGAAATAGTATTTTGTGTCTAGCACTGGACCGATGTGACTGTACAGCCCTAAGGAAAAAAAATCCATTTTTTATCCAGAAAGCATGTGACCAGCTGAATTTAGATTAAAGGACTGTGTTGACTATTGTTTCATTAAAAATTAATGTCAGTATATTTCTGTTTCAATTGATACTATTTATAGCTTAAGACGCATATTCAGACTATTTTAAATATTCCATTTTGCCCATTCCTGTAATTGAGAACAGTAGAGATTACAATGTATATGGATAAAAACGCTAAAACTTAAATAGTAGCTTCAAGATAGATTTACGGTAAGTGCTGCAAGAGAAGCTACTCAGGAAAATATGTAAAAAGGTAAAGGTAAAGGTTCCCCTTGACAATTTTTGTCCAGTCGTGTCCGACTCTAGGGGGCAGCGCTCATCCCGCTCTTCAAGCCATAGAGCCAGCGTTTGTCCGAAGACAATCTTTCCGTGGTCACATGGCCAGTGTGATTTAGACACGGAATGCTGTTTACCTTCCCACCGAGATGGTACCTATTTATCTACTCGCATTTGCATGCTTTCGAACCGCTAGGTTGGCGGGAGCTGGGACAAGCAACGGGCGCTCACTCCATCGCGTGGATTCGATCTTACGACTGCTTGGTCTTCTGACCCTGCAGCACAGGCTACAGCGCCACCACGTCCCCAGGAAAATATGTATACAGGTATATTTGCTATACAAAGGAAAGAAATTTTAACTTTATAACTGAATAATAATAATCATGTGCTGTTAAATCAATTCTAACTTTTAGCAACCTCTGGCTTTGCATCCAGATACCTAACACACTGAGCTATCCAGCCAGCTTTATAACTGAAGGCACACCCTTTAGCTACCTCATTTACTTAGGGGTAAAATACTTTAAATAAATAAATAAATA